TCCACACTCCTTTACCTCTGACATCAGCCAAAATTCAAGACAAGGGGCCAGGGGGAAATAGGGAGTTTCTACTGCAGCTCAACAACCCCCTGACTGGTGACAGAGGGACAGCACTGCCTTACAGCTGTGGCTCACAAAAACACCCAGACTTACTGACAGCTTCTTCATGAGCCCTTGGGCCTTGGGGTTCAGCTGAAGAAAATTCTTCTTGGTCAAATCCTTTTCTGTCAAACGTATGCTCTGTGGAAACAAACTCAAATCTCACATTTTCTGTCTGGCCAGCTGCAGCAGCTGGAGACAGTAAAAAAGTTAAATAAAATAAAAGAGATTAAGATCTAAGTACAGACAGGCAGAGAACTACATTCAGCTGGAACAGAAACTCATCTCACACCTTTCCTGCAGAGCATTAATGCAAAACTGGCTGTGGTGGTTTAAAACAGCTTGATTTGTGGTGAGGGGGGATAAAGCCAGTGAGTGAATGATTTTTTTTTTTGTGGGTGAACTGGCATTTGGCCAGCATCAAACCCATTACACTGTCACTAAAGCTGCTTTAAGTGTTTTAAAGTGAATGCACACTGAAACATCCTCTTGTTCTGTTTCAACCAGCTTGAGCAGGTCCCACTTCTGGCTAAGAGTCTCTGGAGGTTTAAGCTCAATCAATCCCTTAGATAAACTGCAGTGGCACAGCTAAGGAGTGGATAAACCGAAGCTGGAGATGCACCCCTGTGTATCCCCTCAGCTCTGCCTGAGCAGGTGAAGGGGCAGGAGTTACCTCCACCCCACCAAGAGGAATGGTGAGGGGTGACATCCTTGGGGTCGCTGAGGGGGTTGCCCTTGGCTAAGAGCCTCCTGAGGTTTGTTTTAAGCTCAGTCAACCCCTTAGATACACTGCAGTGGCACAGCTAAAGAGTGGATGAACGGAAGCTGAAGATGCACTAAGAGGTGCCTGTGCAGCCCCCCAGCCCTGCCTGAGCAGGTGAAGGGGCAGGAGTTACCTCTCCCCCCCACCCCACCAAGGGGAGTGGTGAGGGGTGACATCCTTGGGGTTGGTGAGGGGCCTGCCCTTGGCCAAGTCTCTGGAGGTTTGTTTTAAGCTCAGTCAACCCCTTAGATACACTGCAGTGGCACAGCTAAAGAGTGGATGAACCAAAGCTGGAGATGCACCAAGAGGTGCCTGTGCACCCCTGCAGCCCTGCCTGAGCAGGTGAGGGGCAGGAGTTACCTCTCCCCCGCCGAGGGGCACGGTGAGGATGACGTCCTCGGGCTCGGCCAGGGGGCTGCCCTTGGCAGAGAAGGTGTACACCCGCTCGTTGATGGCAGGCGTGCGCAGACCCGGCGTCTTGAACACCCTGAAACAACGAGATAGCAGTGAGTGGTGTGTGCTCACAGCACTTCTAGTGCAACTCTTTCATTTCAGGTTCAAAGAGCTACTAAAGGCTGTGTTGTAAACAGATGGAGTGAAGCAGATTGGATCAGACATGGAAGGGAAATGTATTTATTGTCTGTGTTAACAAACCTGGGATCAAATCTGGGTGTAACCATGGAGGTGCCTCCCCGAGCACAGATATCAACCATTCTGCCAGTAGCTGGAGTGATGAAGCTGTTTTTGCTTGATCTGTTAAAGGGAAATAAACAGCTGTGCATAACATGACCTTTAGCAAGTGTATAGGCACTTGTCAGAGGCTTGAAGAAGGTGACCACCACTAAACCCAGGAGTTATTACTGACCTGTGACCCCCAAAACTGGGGACAGCTTGTTCTCACAGGAGAGGCAGCTGTCCATCTTTCATTCACATCAGTTTTGCCCTGTGGTGTGGCACAAATCTCCCCTCCACCACTAGTGAACCAAAGCCCATTCCACCAAAGAGAGATATTTGTATTTGCACTCTCACTCTCCATTTCTAGAGATGAGACAGACATCCCCATTTACCTCTTGCTCATGCCCTTCACTGTTGCTGAGGGAGGTCTTCTGGCTGTGGGTGGCTTTTTGGTGGACGTCTTCACCTGGAGCACACATCACTAGATCAGTTACTTCCCTCCCGTGGGACAGCTGAGTCCAGACAAACAGAGGCTCCCACACAAAATGCTCAGTCCCTTTCCATGGCACAAGAGCCCAGAACAAACACCATTCAAGCCTTTGGGACCCTCCCTCATTGCTAGAACTCTCTGGAAAGCAACAGCTGTGTGCAGTCTCCCTCAGAGCATCCGAGACAGCCCTAATCATCAGCTCAGTCAGGAATTCCTATCCTGAGAATAATGTCACCCCAGATAACAGATATTCACCTTGGCAGTCCTTGTGTCCCCAATCTCAGCCTCTGAAGGACACTGGCTGGCAAGTCGGGATCTCTTTTGCAGTGGAAGTGATGTAGGTTCTGCTTCCTCATCAGCTTCAACACTCCTTTTGATTTTACTCACTACAAAGAAAGTGTTATCTAAGTAAATAATAACTTTAAATTATTATTTAGCAGGGAAGGCAAACAGCTACAAGCAGTTTTGGTAACAATTTCCTTCAGATATCCAAATTCCAATGCAATCCTAATGGTTGCCAGCGCAACTCTGGATTATTTTGAATGTTTTAATGAAACTAATTAGATATGCTGCAAGTATATAGGGACAAAAGTAGGATTATTTTCCTGGTTTAAACATACTGAGGGCATGTGAGCAAGAACTGAATTATTATTCACATTAAGTAACCACAACATGCTTCCACCTCACCAATCATGCCACAATGCTCAAACTCACCTTTTTCAGCAACATCTAGCAGGGGATCGATGCCTTCTGTGCTGAGCCTGCGGATTTTTGTTATTTCCCTGTCCACCTAAAATTAAAAACACTTGTGGCACCACTGGGATTGTTGGCAGCCCAATGTTTGTGTAAGCCTAAGCTGTAGAGCAAACCTCCAATAATTTTACAGCCAGATGATCTCCATACTGTGCTTAAACTGGGCCCTTTCACGCATCTCTCCCTCCCTCAGGACTCAGTGCCTGGCTGGTAGCTGCAGGTGTACCTTTCCTACACCCTGCTGTTCAACCCGCTTGGAAACGCTGTCCTTTACACTCCTCAACCCTTTGGAAATGCAGAAGTGCCTGCGCTCTCAGGGATTTGGGAGTGCTCTCTAGCAGCTAAGGAAATATCAACAGGGAGCAGCAGGACCACGTAAATCCCACCTCTGGTACAACAGGCTTCTCTTATTGTTAAATTTTAAAGAAACATTTGTAAAAGTATTGATGTAACTGTTTCTCTTGTAATGCTCCAGTGTGAGGAGCAGAGTGGGATGGCTCTAGAGAGCTTTATGTTTCTTCCAGAAACCTACCTTAGCCACGTCCTCTGGTGTGTTTTCACTTCTTGCTAGAGCTAGAAAGAAAACGTATCGGATACGTCAGGACGTGTTGGGGACAGCTGACACAGCACAGCATGGGTGTGAAAAACACACCACAAACCAATTTCCAGCCCTAGAGACCAGAACCCACGGCAGCCCGTGGTATCATCCCCTGGGGATGTCAGGCAGGGTAGATCCCAGCTCCTCCCTTACACCCGTTGGGGTTTGTTATCTGAGGGGGAAGGGGTCCCTCAGCCCAGCACCCCCCGAAGAAGGGGGTCCCTTCACCGCACCGAAGAACTGCAGCCAGTTCATCTCGCGGATCTCCGGCGGCAGCCGCAGGATGGCCATGTCGTACATGTGCTCCACTTCTTGCACCATGCGCTCCCCGTCCGTCACGATGCGCTTCAGCCGCCGCGCCACTGCGGGGACACGCCGCGTTATCCCCGCGCGGGGCCGCGCTCCTTCCCGCTGCCGCTCCGCCATCCCTCCTGCCCCCTGCCCTACCTTCTCTGTCGAAGTCTTGCAGGAACGCCTCCATTTTGCGGCGCCGGGTAACGCAGCTGGCCTTTTTCCTGGTGGGGGCCATTGCGGGCTCTTTCTGCAGCGGGCTGTCCCCAGGCCGGGCTGTCCCTTCCCCAGGCCAGTCTCTCTCTCTCTCGGCCGGTCTCCCCTCAGGCCGGGCTCTCTCCCCTCAGGCCGGGCTCTGTCTCGGCCGGTCTCTCTCCCCTCAGGCCGGTCTCGTCTCTCTCCCCTCAGGCCGGGCTCTGTCTCGGCTAGTCTCTCTCCCCTCAGGCCGGGCTCTCTCTCGGCCAGTCTCTCTCCCCTCAGGCCGGGCTCTCTCTCCTCAGGCCGGGCTCTCTCCCCTCAGGCCGGGCTCTGTCTCGGCCAGTCTCTCTCC